AACCATATCCCGTTCCCGTTCCCGTTCCTCAACCAATCCAGCAATCTTATGCACCACCTCCAATTCAACACTTCGCCCCACAACCATCATATCAACCAGCAGTAAGTTTTGCTGCCCCATACCCGGAACCACATTTTGCTTCACCACAATTTGTTCCACAACAATTGGCTCCACAACAATTTGCTCCACAACCATTGGCTCAACCACAATTTGCTTCACAACAATTTGCTCAGCCACAATATTCTTTACCACCTCAAATCAGTGCCCCTCCACAATTTGGCGTTCAACAACAAGGATTTGCTTATGGTGGTCAGCAACAAGGTGGCTTCCAACAGGGAGGTCACCCAGGACGAATGATTTGTTGTTGTTTTCCCGCTCAACAGTAAATTGTCTTTCATATATTATATTAGAACATATTTTGTATAAACCTCTCTTTATATCTTATAAAGAATTACTGATAGTGCTGTGTTATGGATTAATTGTGTGTGTGAACCATGTGGACCAACAAGAGTTTTGATGTTTTTAGAGATAAAAAAGAAGAAATGTTTCTTTTTTGTTTTGTTCATCAATAATACACACAGCTAACGATCGGCCTTCTAGTCGAAATGTTCTTTCTATCAGAGAACATTTCAAAAAGCCAATTGGATAGCTGTGTAGTACCACGGCTCGAGGTTCTGTATCTAAGAACATATAACATCACCACGATTTTTGCTGCGCTTAGATTAGAATGAATGACATGTTGTTTAGCATAGCACATTGTTTTTTTCTTCTGAATTTTGTCTAATCAGGCGAGGTGAAGGATAAGAAAAAAATTGAGTGCTTGTTCAAATCATAGTAAAATTTTTTCTTTTTTGCGAAGACTGTCATGAACGTTTTTAATCGATGGTGCATCTGTTATTTCTGTTTGTTTAATTTTTTCGTTGTTTCATCTAACTGTTTGTTTTTTGAAGAGTGAAAAAAATAAACATATATAAACCAATTTAATACAAATGTGAAAAATATATTGATCAAACAGACCCTCATCCATGCCTAAAATCGTGTATTTTCAGATATTGTAAAGTCAAATTTACTAAAGTCCCTATTTTTAAAAATTTTCCTGTTTAAAACTGATTAATCATTTCAATATGGAAATAAATGTCTCATAGTATGCAAATGGTTGCTATAATCATTTTCCATAGGATATTTTCCTTATTTAGACAAATATAACTGTCAAGAATTGAGTTGTTATATGTATTTCATGTAATTAAATAAAAATGTCTAAATCTGTACTATTCATGAATTCTGTTTTTTGAACAGTTTTTCATTTTCTAATCTATTTTTAAAATATTCGTTAATAACTATGAATTTTATAATGGTGTGACTTTTGAAGGAGAGAAAATAAATTGCTTCATATAGCCGCCACTACCACAAAACCATGACGGAGTCTATTCATCAAGGTAATTTTTCACTAGTTACAAAAAAATTAATTGAAGTTAGTTACACAAATATTTTGTCACTTCTTCATTTTATCAATCGATGAATAAATGAAAAATTGGGCTTTTTTGTTTGTGGTTTTTAACCACTATCTAATAATGTGTCAAATAAATTGTGTTTCCATTTTGATGATCGACGATTTGATCGATCAAATATTAAAAACATACTTATTTACACAATAAAAAGAGGGTTTTTGCTCAGCCGTATAGAAATATTTTGACGGTGTTAATAATGAAAAGAACAAGCAACCTTCGATTTTTCTCGACTTTTATAACATTTATTTAACATCAAATAGTGGGATATTCGTCGTGAATAATAATGATATTAACAATAGAGAGAATGAATAAAGATACATATATTCGTAAGATGTACAAATTTTTCAAACTTCAAAAATACCGATGTTTAATATATAAATGATCTTAATAAAACTTCACACTACTTTAGTATTATCTTTAAAACAGATTCTAATTTAACAATTCTGCTGAAAATTTATCATCAATCCTTGAAAAACTGTATTGATTACTAATATTTGAGTTTTTTTCAACGCAACCTTCTTCTCGCTTGCTACTTTATTTTTACAAAGTATCTCTGCTTTCAAAAAAAAAGCTAAGATTGTTCTTCGTTGTGATGTCATATAGACATAAAATCACCACCTATTTGATCTCATTTCATTTTCATCAGTGTTTTTTTTTTTATTTTTAGAAAAATGATCCCTTCGTCTCAGTATCACGCAAAAAAACATATAAATGTTTTTAAAAAGCTGACAAGTCAGTAATTCAAGATTGACAGCAAATATTAGTGACTAATTGAATTGATACCATTACTACTACGACAAAAGTTTGACTGATAAAAAAAGTGTTATATATTGTTTGAAAGTAGTTCAACCTACTAAATAATTTTGGACTTCTCACGCTCATTATAACGTATTGAAAATAAGTTTAATACGTGCAAATCTACTAACTATCAAATTAAGGTAATAGTATAATTTTAAGTAAGACGTTAAGGTAGTTAAACATTAAAAACTTTAAAGATGAAAAATATCTTTGAACTCGATAAATAACTCAGAAAAGTTTGACAAGTTATTTTTCATCAGACACATACATATATGAAATACGTTCGTTTTCACTATTGTATAACTTTTTCATGTGAAAATACTTGTAAATCCGCAGAAAAAAGAGAAGATGATATATCAGGCGATGGAATACTTTATATCCATAATAATCAAACGTCAATTATTGTAACTTAGTAGGACCAATCAACAATAAATGGCTCATGTTTCGGCTTGTTAAGCCTTTAATCAAGGTAAAACAGAAATAAAATGATGATTAATAACAATACAGTGACGAACAAAATATTCGGTAAATAAACTCAATTATATCTAGAACAAAAAATCGCAATCAAAGAAATTTAAGTAAAAATTTTTGTATTCAAGTAGCCACTCTTTCTTTGTCTTCAATTATACTCGTCGGGATTATTAGTTACCTTTTTTGTCAATGAATCGATTTCACACCGCACACCTGTATCTCGTGTCATTCATTCTCTAAGTATTGGACTCCCTTGAGTAACTACTGACATTTTATTATTGAATAAATATGCTAATCGAGAGAAACGTTATTGTCTTTTATAGATATAATTCGAATAGACAAAGAGTGCTTTCTGCACTCTAAAAGACAACGCCCAAAAAGATGCTATAGTCTGTTCTTCGTTAGTTGTATCAATACAACTATTTTGAAGACTGATCGAAGATACTTGAAGACGTCTCTCTTTGAAATATTTTATTAATTCTTCATGTTTAGTAAGCTTCTTTCTTTCTTATCGAAGTTTAGACCCTTGTTCTTGAGAAAGGTTCTCAAGTGCCACATCGATTTTTCCATGAGTCATACTTGATTCTGGGTAATTTTTGATGCTGATTATGAATATGACCTTCGTTCGTTCCATAGGGCCTTTTAGTATCTCTGTTCGAATTAGGGATCCCTAAAATCAGTCACGAACTTTCGTCTGCACAAATTCTGATAGTGCCACATTATAGATCACATCAAGCCCCTTTTGTTGAAAAGCTTCGAGATCTAACCAACAAGTCTTCAGCGAGTTATAATTTTTTTTATCGGGAAAAGTACCTCAATTACCCTTATGTTTGCTGGATAAAAAGCTGAAGTTTTTATAACTCGATGAAGACTTGCTGGTTAGATCTCGAAGTTTTTCAACATAAGGGGCTTGATGTGATCTACAATGTGGCACTATCAGAATTTGTGCAGACGAAAGTTCGTGATTGATTTTAGGGATCCCTAATTCGAAGAGATATACTATATATATAGTTAATACCGCTGATCAGGCGGAGAATGTCACTGTAGAAGCTAATGTAATGGGTGCCAGAAGATATAAAAGTATTGTTTAGTTCGTCGGTACTACAGTAGTTAACAATATAAACTGCGTTAAACAAAAAGGCTTTCGTGCTAAAAAATATAAAACAAATTAGAAAATAAACAAACGTTTTTAATAAACAAGAAGAAGCCCACATGTAATACACAATAATTTTGACATATTGATGTAGTAGAGATAGCGTTTTACGTTTTATTCTCTAACTATCATCAAAAAGTGGAACCCAAAAAAGAAAAAAATATATTCTCTCTTTCTCACACAGTCTACTAGTAGACAATAACTTGTTATTTCACTAATTCGAACACAAAAAATGAAATAGTTTCTTAAACATGATTCGCACAATAGATCTACTAAATGTAAGGTCCATTTAAACGTCTTCTATGTGTCTTTCATCTAAAAAATGCGTGGATAGTATAAAGACATGTATAACACGGGTTTCTTTTGGAAGACGAAATATAGTTGTTTAATAGACCTTTTGTCATGGGTAGAAATCTTTTAGATAACGCTGTTTTGTTTGAGTGTCCTTTGAATATATAGTTTTCTAACAAAATATTCAAATGTTTATGCTTTACTCAATCATATATCGGAATCTAATTAAAAATTTAAAGTTATGCTGTCTCATCAGCAAATGTTTCTGTTAAACAATAACGTTAAGTTAGCATAGTTTGATAATTAATAATACTATTGCCGTGCCATTGGATTCTAATACGGTGCTTTCTCATTAATCAGTCATGTTTATACTAGAACGGCTCGTTTTAGCAAAATTTCATACACGGATTACCGTTTGTTTGAATTTTTAGATTATTTCATAGAACCCTTAATTTTTTAATATAATAAATATAATAAAAATTTGATGAAGTGAATGTCAATCGGATTTAACCTACTAGCTAAGTCTTATATGTTGATAATGTAATGGACTCGATCTAATTCAATAATACTTCTGTCTAAATGAAATCAGTAAGAATCATAATAGAATGGAAGAGAGATGAGATAAAGTGTAGATGTCGCTAGCCGCTGATATATATATACGCATTTAATTTAAAATTACATCGAAAATATCTTCTAATATCCGATTTTTGTAGAAGTAGTAAAATGATATAGTCGCTCGTTCTGATTTGCACGAGACCGAGATAATATTAAATTTTTGATATAGATCTAATAAATCGATGTGTTAATTAACTTCAAATGAAAAAAATTAATTAGTAAACTCGCCACTATTTAAATCGAGCAAAATAAAACGCTTTTTTGGGTGTGTTTTACCTTGTAACCTACTATAAAGTCATTATAGATAACACTTAATCAGCTTCATTCAACAAAGTCAGCTATTAAGGTGTATATGAGTCAGCCCAAAAATTTGTCTAAAAAACTCAGATTGATTGTCTCTGATTGAATCGAATGATAAATAATATTGAAATGTGAGCGATGTTATCCGTCATATAATATGCTCAAGGAGTCTACTAGATGTCACAATTAAATGTCGAAATATACATCTAGTGAATCGAACGCCAATCGAAAAAAAAGTAAAACTGTTAAAGGGGTCTATAGTGTTCACCTCTGTGATTTTGAATATGTGATATGTAAAAGAAGAGGCAATTTCATCTACATTTTGCTTTGTCAATAAGATAGAAAGACTCACTTTTGTAAATCATTAGTTTAGATATTGCCGCGGTGATCATTTTTTTGGTTTAGTGATAAACTGCTAAGGTTTTAGAATTTTTTAAATAAATCAGAATATCGCAAATCAGCTTCTAGACTTACCTCTCTATAAGAAGTTGTCATATTTTACAACATTTAGTACACTTAATAATATTCATTAATCTGACATCTCATTCCACATTATTGTTCATTAATAGGCGTATTCGCACTGCAATGTTCACTAAATATCGGCGCATATAATTACTCGTCGCCACTCAATCTTGTAACAATTTATCGGTTGGTTATTGTCAAAAATTACTTTTCAGTTATGAACTATGAGACTCATCAATTAGCAAGGTTCTAGCGCGAAGCGGGAATGAAAAAGAAAAGAAAATAAGATATAGTGACGTTGATGGCTATTGTTGCTCATGGTCCTTCATACGTGATATCAATAGGAACAAATAAAATAAGAGAAAAAACCGGTGAAGGAAACGACTGGCTGTAGGCGGAAGGGGAAACTTTAATTAAATTTTTTGTTCGAGTAATAAATTGTACTCACGCTTGACTGCGTAAGAAGGACACTGGATGCTCTTCAAAACTGCTGAGTGTACGTACCGCACAATTACTTTGATAAAGTCAAACTCTCTCCGACGACGAAGTCACAACGGCTTCACTATTCACATTTGAGTGTCACAAGGTATGTGTGTCTTCACTCTATCCTCCTGATGTTTATAATAATGCCTGTTGATAATCACACTCTTTTCTTATGTAAAGTTCCTAAATCAATAATTATTATCAATGGGTAACAGAAATGCTCGCAGACAAGGAGCTTCTGGATTAGACAATTATGGTCAAGGCTATAATGATTTTCCCTATGAACCAATCATGGAAAATTATGGCGCTGGCTATGAACCTTATGCAGAATATCCGTTTGGATACGGGATGACGGAGCAAGATTTTAATGGCCGAGGAGGAGGATATATTCCAACTATACGTCCAGCCAATTCATTTCCTCCTCAACAACAGAACTTGAACTTAGGCGCTTACGGAGGTTTAGGAAATACCCCTGGATTATCGCCACTTGGAGCGTCGTCATTTGGCGGTTTGAACGGTTATGGTTCTCGATATCCGTACGGATTTAATCCGTTGATTCATCAACAAGGTACCATGGGACCAAAAATACGTAAGATTTTCGTACCAAATCATATATTTCCACAATTTCAACAGATGCTTCAGGGCGGAATGGGAATGCAATCTCCTATGATGGGAATGGGAATGGGAATGAACCCAATGATGAGCATGGGACAGGGTTGTGGTGGAAGTCCGATGATGATGCCTCAGGGATGTGGTATGGGAATGCCATCTCCTATGATGAACCCAATGATGAGCATGGGACAGGGTTGTGGTGGAAGTCCGATGATAATGCCTCAGGGATGTGGTATGGGAATGCAATCTCCCATGATGGGAATGGGAATGAACCAAATGATGCCGATGGGTGGCGGTTCTTTACCACCCAATTGTTGTGCCATGTCAATCCCAATATCAGGTGCCATGCCATCTGCTTCTATGGGATCGTCGTATTGTCCACAACCTATTATGCAACAACCACAGATGCCATGTGGCCCCATAATGCAGCCGCAAATGCAAATGCCCTGTGCTCCACCGATGCCTATTATGCCACAGCAACTACCAATGATGATGCCACAGCAACTACCAATGATGATGCCACAGGCTATGCCTTGCCAACAACCGCAAATGCCATACTTACCTTCAATGATGTCACCTCTAATTA